ATATATATATATATATATATATATATATATATATTAACAAGGAGATTATTAATATGTAAAAATATAAAAAAATTAAAACTTAAGAAAGTAATTTTTTGGAGACATTTTTTTAAACAATTAGGTTTTAATATAGATGTTTGATACCTCATAAATGTAGAAATGTATTCCCCAGCTCATAACCTTTTTCCATTATTATTATGCGATTTTTATACACCCAACTATTTCTATACAAATATTTCCTATTACACTACTACCAATGCTTTGCCATTGTTATCAATTTATTAATGTTATTACTATATTTATATTGTTATAATTTTATTATTGCAACAGTACCTATAGTGTACTTTATTATTATTGTCACTGTTATTTATTTATCAATGTTATTACTGTTTTTATATTGTTATAATTTTATTATTATAGTACGTAATGAAAAGCAATAATAGTACGTTATTATTATTATTGCTTATCAATATTCATATAGAAATATTTACTGTTATCATGAATATAGTTTTGGGAAATAGTATGATAGGGCTGCAGCCCTATCAAAAATAAGTAAAGTCTTCCTTAATAAATCATCAAATATTGTAATTCAAGCATAGAAAACCTTTGCATCGATCATCTCGACTTGAACATTATGAGTTGTGAAAAAATTAAGATTTCAAACTCTAAAAAATAATGTTTATTTTAACAATTATCTATGCTGACCATTTCGCTCTAAAAATAGGTGCTCAAAGATATGCAAGATCAGTATGGTTTTTTGAGTTTCAAATCTTATCGTCGGTGTCAGAAATTGATTTTAAAACCATCATGAAGATTTCTATAGCCAAAAGTGCTTTCCATGTAAAGATTTACGATGAGGTTTTATTTGATTTTCATAGAGCCTAGGCCTTATAACAACTTCATCAGTTATGTTTTGGGGTATTTATAAGTATTGATTGAGGACATGGTCGTGACTCTCTGAGAACAGTGTGAGGTTACGCAGATATCTATGGGCTATAAAGGAAGGGAGAACATGGGCGGCACTTATTCGAACCACATGATAAAAAGAGACAGAGAGGGAGAGAGAGAGAGAGTGAATGGAGAACGTGGAGACCACTTCATGAAAATAAGTACGAGACTAAGTAGCAAGTAGATGAAGAGAGGGAGTGTATAGAGTAAATTGAAAAGAAGAAGCAAAAAGAGAAGAAGAAAACCATTTTACGTGGTTGGGTCTTTTGGACCTACATCTATCGTAGAAGGGTTATTCAACTGTGATTATTATTTTATTCACTCGATATTAAATAGAGCTTATATAACAACAAAATAAAAACTGATTTCGCAAATATCTCTTGAATATATTACCAACTTGTCATCAAGATATTCTTCACATTTAGTTACTTAAAAATATGGGATATGGATAACCATATCTAATATGAAAAAAACACTAATATGATATTACCCAAGAATATATATATATATATATATATATATGGGTGCGGTTTGTATAGAGCCTAAGCTCTAAACAATCAAATTAGACCCTACCCTCAAATATTGTTGAGAAATGTGGTTCCAATATTGGAAATCTTTGTGATAGCTTTAAAATGTATTTTTCATATTTATTTATAAAGTTTAAAGTTTAAAAAATAGTGTAGATCGACAGATCTATGAAAACTTGAAAATCTTGAAAATTGACAGTCCAAAAATGTATTACAAAATACACTATTTCTAAAACTTGAAATCCATTTTTCCTCTCATGTCCATGCATCTTGATGTTGAGATGATCGATTAGAAGATATTTGAGTATCAAAACAACCTCTTTTAGTTAATTTTTTGAGGCAAGCTGAAATTTGATTGTTTAGAGCCTCAGCTCTATATAAAATACTTCTATATATATATATATATCAAGCTTTCTATGCTTCACCTAGTGTATAGAAGTTCTATCCTCCCCTTATCCAACCGTCCATTCTGAATGGAGGACTAAGATTGGCCCAATCACAATGTCACGTTTCTACAATATTTTATTTTTAAATTTATCTATAAACTATTTTGACACCAAATTTTGGACGTCCATTCTTCTATTAAACTCGCACTAACCAAAAATATAAAATTTTTTTTCAGTAAAATTAAATTACCAAAATACCCCTAAAAGATTCAATGGGTATTTTGATCATTATATTTTATTGAAAAATTATTTTAATATTTTTTATAGGTGTACCCCAATGAGAAGATGATGCGTACTAAATTTTATATTCATATATTTTGTATAAAAAAATTAGAAATAAAATACTTTGAGACGTCGGATCCAAGATCAAACGATGAATGACCCTCTTGATCAAAATTGGACGGCTGGATGTTATGGGGAGGATAGAACTTCTATGTTGTAGGGAAAGCATAGAAACCTTGTCCATATATATATATATATATATATATATAT